CAAAAAGGCAGAGAGTGGGGGAAGACAACCATACATCAATCTCCGAAACGAGAGCAAAAGAAAAATCCGAGATGCCGATCCGGAAAGGAGAAAGGGCGACTCGCGCCGAAAACCAAAATTGCTTAGAAGAATAGAAGAAGAAGCCAAAATGGCTTAGAAGATAAGAAGAAGAATCTCTTCATACACACCTCCCGTTTCTCTCTCTCTATCTCACCGCTCTCTCATCTCATCGCCTCGCACCCACACAGAGTTGTCACCCCCGAGCATGCAAGCCAGGTTCGTCCGTGCGCCATAGTCCGTTGCAGCCCCACGTCAACCCCGCATGCCCAACATCAGCTCGTCGGATCGTCCAACTTTTTACTCACCTGCCACTCTTGCTCGTTAGCCGATCCTCTCGACCGCGCTAACTCCAAAATTTTTAGAGAGCGAGTTAATCGTGCGTGCGAAATTTATAGCATGCATGCTCGCGCGAGATACTGAGGATTGGGTCTGAAGGGGAAGAAAGGAGGAAGAAGGCAGTGCCTACGTCTGCATGGCCAGGCCGCGGTGTGGGGGACGTAGCCACGCTCCACACATCGATCCAGTCATGCAAGCGATCAGGTCAATAGGACGGGAGAGAAGTATGCCCGTGCAGGGGCGCCACAAAAGATATTAAGAACGACATGATTACAGTTGCAATCACACCTGCTGAAAGCAAAGATTATAGTTACACGCAAGATTAAGGCGCGGGGAAGTCAGAGCACAGATCTTGACACGGCAGGACGTGCGCAAGCAAGAAGCGCCGTGCAGCGGAAATTGAGATGCGCCTAAATTCCTACTCTAAATCCTTATTGCAAAAATAAATTCCGAAAGAGACAATTACCAAGAGCCCACGGGGGCTCGACAACGGTTGAAAATTCAAAAAGATTTTCCCGAGCGACGATCGCGCAAAAATTCCCGTTTCCCACAGCAAAACAAGAAAGAAGCTATGACAACCGTTATTCGTCGCGCTCGCTGAGGCGCGGCCAACTATCAATCGTCGTGGGGCCAGACCAGTCTTCATTCAAAAGAGACAAGAAAAAGCAGGGGCATCCATGCAACCCACCAGGCCATCCCGACTTAACCAATCTCATCCCCCGAAATAGCCTTGCGCAGGAATCCGCGCGGTTGCAGAAAACAGTTCGTCACAACCCTAGGTCACGAGTTATGGACCGAGTTTCTTATCCTTATGTTGTCTTTTTTTACTACAGTGTTCTATGGTGTTGATGATAGAGAGATGGGGATCCTCCGTTCCCTCGTATATCCCTGGAGCCCGTTCCTGCACCGCGGTAAGGTGCAGTATCTTCTGACACCCCCGACATCCGTACTTAGGACTGCTATGCCAGCCTCAACTCTAAGGTACGTACTAGGAGGATAGCCCACCTTCAATCGTGAATCATGGACTGTATGTATTGACCCTGGATAATCTATTAGCCCTGTGTTGTATGGTAGTCTGAGAGCAGACAATCCTCCGTTCCCTCGTATGTCCCTGGAGCCAGTTCCGGCCCCGCAGTAAAGTGCAGTATCTCCTGACACTCCCGACATTCCTTACTAAGGAACTGCTATGCCAGCCTCAATCCTTTGACCACGTATTAATGGCAAGGCCCGTTCGACTATGCTTCAACCAGGACTAGGGTCGCTAGCCCTGGTGCCTGTCGCTACTGTTCGGTCCAAGTCCCCCTCGATACTGGTAGGGTGACGGTCCTAAGTGCTGGTCACACTGAGGTAGGATAGTAGGGATAGGGGATACGCTAGGAGTATTGACGCGAGGTTGGGATGGGTGGTGGCCTCGCCTTCCCAGAGCGACCAGGGAGGACTGCTTCCGGCGATCAACGTGTGCCTAGTAACTGGCCTCTACAACACCCTGGACCTAAGTTGCAGTCTGTTATCGAACACAGGACCTTATGTGAATCGTGCAAGTGACCTAACCTATTGACCTACAGTGTGAAATATGAAATAGTCTGTAGGTGTACTCTGCTGGGGTCGAGTAAACCGGACTATGCAAGCCACCCAGACCAAGAACATCAGGATACCCACCATCGCCGGGGCCTCAGCCGAGATGTGGGGTGAGCCCTAGAAGGGCTACTGCGAAGATTCATGCCCGCATATAGATTCCAACGGCCCCCTTAGCGTGATCACACTGGCCTGTACCCAGGCCTTGGCACATATTGGCAGGCCCGCCTTCACTTAGGGCGGGCAAGGCCTTTTCCAGCACTGCCGAGGGCTCACATCCTCGCACCAGCAACAGGGCCATCACCATGGCATAACCTATCTCTATATATAGTTAAACAGACTGCCCGCCAAACTATATATCGTCAAATAGAACTGCCCGGTAAACCGTAGGCAGAGAGGGAGAAGAGGACAACAAACGAGGGGCTGTGACAAACTGTTTCGTCGGAGTTTCACCGACTCATAGATACAGCCAGTCGCCCTCTGAGAGTATACTCACACTAGGCCCTCAAAATCACAAAATCGTAAAATGAGCGGCCAGATGCAGTCGTTCCTTCACAAGGACTCGATCTGGCCACTCATTTTGCGCTTTTGCTATGTTGAGGGCGTAGTGTGAGTATGCCTATTTTCGAACGCGGGATCAACCACGGGCTGATGACCTTTCTTTTTTGCCTTTTTCAAAAGGGGTATTGGCGCGCAGGTGTCAATTTCCCTTCCTGTGCCGAAAGAGCTGTAAGCTGCCTGTTGGTCCCCCAATTGCGAGGAAACCAAAACCACAACCGACCTTTTCTCTGCCACTGTGCTATACTTCTTATACTTACTTATCATCAATCTCATCCAATCCTCTGATGATCGCATCCTTTTTTTTGGGGGGGGGGTGTTCCTTTGACTGGGAGGTCTCATCTCTGAACTACTTCTTCTCTGGAAGGGGTGGGATGTGCCAAATCACCTTCATGAGACCCCCCCTCTGGCGAGTTGGGCGGTGTAACGCCCACCCACCCTGATGAGTCAATAAGTCGTCGAATCGAAGAATTGCGACCGCCAGAGAGGATCCATTGAGTCATTGAGTCCGACCGAGCAGCGCAGGGGGGATCGAACTCACCGCAGTTTGGAGGAGGATTTTTCAAATCAACCGTTGCCAGATCAAGAGAGAAGAGGGCCAGTCAATCCAAAAAGGTGAGATGAAAAAAAAAAAAAAAAAAAAAAAAAAAAAGGTGAGATGGAGTCTCCCAGGCCTTATTGCAGTGGGAGTGGGATCACACAGGAGCGATACCGTCATGCCCTCTTTGCTGGTAAACCAGACTGCAGAAGGGAAAAAAAAAAAAAAAAAAAAAAAAAGAATTGCGTAGGCTTTAGGAGGAATTTCATTAATTATTAATTAAGGATTTATTACCCTTGCTACCGTCTTACCACGAACACAACGCATCCTGAAAATGAACGTATACAAGGTATGTTTCCAACCCGATACAGGGAAAATGAGGGTGCGTTGTGTTCTGGCGAAGACGGGTAGTGGTGGCGAAGAAGACGGAAATTGGAAATTGTACTTCGGAACATCAGTTAAAATTGGAACGATAAAAAAAATAAAATAATAAATAAAAATAAAATAAAAATAAATGGAACGATACAAGTGGAAGGGGTATTAGCAAGGCCGCTGCGCAAGGATGACACGTATAAGTCGAGAAACGGTGCAAAAAAAAAAAGAAGAAAAAGGAAAAAAAAGAGAGAGAAAAAAAAGAAGAGCGAAATTAAGCGCCTGAATCTGTAGGTGTTGTATGCAGAGATGCAGAAAAGCAGATCAGTAGCGAGTTTTTCTGCACCTGTGGAGAAACACGTCCAGATTCAGCCGTTAAATTTGATCCACTTTTGCTAGTGGGACTGCTTCTGCACCTCTCGAGAAAGCCAAGCCACGTCTTTGTGATCCCCCAATCTTTCTTTCTTTCTTTCTTTCTTTTTTTTTTTTCTCTTTTTTTTTTCCGGAAATCTCCGACTATATGTAATTGAAATGAAGAATGGTGATCTGGATTTTGACAGTACCAACAGAAGCTGACATTCCCTGTATACTGCCCTGTTGCTCTTCGTCTACCTCCTCGTCTGCCTCCTTGTCCACTTTACCCCTCCCTCCTCCTCCTCCTCCTCCTCCTTCTCCTCTTCCTCCTCCTCCTCCTCCTCCTCCTGCTGTTGTCCTTCTTCTCATGCTTATTCATTTTCTCCTTTCCCGCTTGTCTTCTTCTTCTTTTTCTCCTCCTTCTCCTCCACCTCCTCCTCCTCCTAGTTCTGTTCTCCTTTTCTCCTCCTTTCCACTTTCCCCCAATTTCCCTTGCCCTCCTCTTTCAGCTTCGTCGTTCTGCTCCTCCCTCTTTCCTCTCCTCTTTCCTCTCCTCCTTCCGCTCCTCTCTCCGCCTTACACCCCTCTTCCTCCTCCTCCTCCTCCTTGTTTCCCTCTTCCCATCCCTTTCCCGCTCTCCTCCTCCGCCTCCTCCGCCTCCTCCTCCTCCTCCTCCTCGTTCTCTCCTCTCCTTTTGCCCTCCTTCACACTTCCCCCCGATCTTCCTTCCCCTCCTCACGCTTTCGTCTTTCCCCTCCCCTCTCCGCTTGCTCTTTCCTCTCCTCTTCCCGGTTCTCTCTCCGCCTTTAACCCCTCCTCCTCCTTCTCCTCCTCCTTTTCCTCGTTCTCTCCCTCTCCTTTTCGCCTCCTTTCCATTTCGTCCCGATCTTCCTCCCTTCCATCTCCTCGCGATCTTCCTTCCGTTGCCGCTGTCGTTTGGTTGACCCTGCAAATCCCATAAGGGAGGTCGCGTGTTCGATTCTCCCTCTTCTCCATTCTCCCTTCTTCCTTCTCCCTTCTCCTTTTCGCCTCCTGTTCAATTCCTTTCCCGATCGTCCTTCCGCTCCCATGGATCCGCCAGTCACGATCTTCCTTCCGCTCACATGGATCTCATGAAGGAGGTCGCGTGTTCGAGTCTTGAGATCGGATCATGGATGTAAAATACGATTGCAATTTTCTTCTCCGTTTTTTGTCTGCTTCGTCAGTTCCTCCCCCTCCTCCTCCAATTCCTTCGTCTTCTTTTTTTTTTAATTTGATTTAAAAAAAAAATTATTTGTTTAATCATGTGATGAATAGGTTTATCGCTCTGCAGTTCCTTCTTCGTTTCCCGTGGTTCCCTCCTTTTCCTCCTCTTTCCCTTCGCTTCATTTCCCGCCAAATCATCTTTCCATAGGAAATAATAACAGTTTTTTTTTTAAGTGCAATCTCTGAAGTTGTGATGCTGATTATGATGAGAATGGCGATGACGAGTTCTTGACGATGATGGTGAGGGATGAGGAGGCGGCGGCGAACCGGATGCAGTACAAAGAAAAAAAGAAAAGGAAAAAGAAAATAACTCTATGCGCGCCAAGCCGAATAAAATCAAGAGGATGCGAAACTAGATTAAGAAGAATTGAATTGAATTGAAATGAAATGAAGTACCGAGGCCAATGAATTGAATTGAATTGAAATTGAATTCAAATTGAATTCAAATTGAATTCAAATGAAGTACCGAGGCCAATGAATTGAATTGAAATGAATGGAGTACCGAGGCCAATGAATTGAATTGAAATGAATTTGAAAAAAAGCAGCGAGGCCAATGAATTGAATTGAATGGAATTGAAATAAAGCAGCGAGGCCAATGAATTGAATTTGAATTGGATTGAATGGAATTGAATGGAAGGGAATGGAATTGAATTGAATTGAATTGAATTGAATTGAATTGAATTGAATTGAATTGAGAATGGAGTTCGAAGTAAAGTAGCGAGCGGGCAATCGCAACTAATAATCCACGAGGGAGGGAAAAGATGTATAAATAACATCAACAATAGCACAAGCATGAACAGAGAGCAGCCAGACAGGCTGAAACGCGTCGGGGAATGTGCGCGTTTGTAGTGCTGTGATGTCTATGTTCCATGCTACTACCGGTAGCACCGGTAGTGCTGTGATGTCTATGTACATCTTTTCGTTCCCGGACTGGTAGCGATTAGCCTCGCTTCGTTTCTTTTTCTTTTTTTTTTTTTTTTTGGTTGGAATTTGGACTTTTCTCGATTTTTATGCGTGCCAACCAATTCGTCGTCGACAGGGACCATATGCTAATTTTTATGTTAATTCATCTTCTCTCTATTGTTCCAATTTTAACGGCTGCCCCGACAATTCTTCTTCTTCTTCTTCTTCTTCTCCTTCTTCTTCTTCTTCTTCTTCTCCTTCTTCTTCTTCTTTTTCTTCTTGGTCGTGTTGTTATTCATCGATCTTGTGTCCATACGCGCGTAGCCTTTACGTCGGTATCTCATCTTCGTTCTTCTTCTTCAATTCTTCTTCTTCTTCTTCTTCTTCTTCCGCGTGCTGAGTTTGAGGAACACGTTGATTTTTGTAATATCATACTTCGTGTTCGTGAGCATTTATCGGCCATTGCTTCTTCTACTTCTTCTTCTCTCTACTTCTTCTTCTTCTTCTTCTTCTTCTTCTTCTTCTTCTTCCTTTCCTCCTATTTTTGATCTCTCTTTGCGTGTAACGATGCTGTTGATGCCCTGGTGCTTCGTTGAAATTTCAACCTTTTCTTCTTCTTCTTCTTCTTCTTCTGCGGCCCGGCTCTCATCTTTTTGTTCTTGTCTTTGTTGATTGGCACGAACTGATTGATCATGTCTTCGTTGATCGGCTCATCCTTTTGTTCTTGTCTTTGCATGTAACGATGCTGTTGATCCGCAGGTGCTTCGGTGAATTTTCGAGGTTCAGCAAGTACGCAGAAGGCGCGCTTTTTAGCTTCGGCAGTTTCAGCGAAAAAGCTGGGTACGGCACGGCTTTGCGAAGAGAGGTGGAAGAGTCGAAGTGAGTAAATCGGCTTCAATCACTGAAAGGAGGGAGGGAGGGAGGGAGGGAGGGAGGCAGAGAGGGAGGCAGGGGCGTGCGAACTCTCCGCGGATGGAATTTGGGGAACAGAAAAGAGAACCACCGAACGTAGCCAGCAATTGCGGCGAGGTGCATTTTTCTCTCCGTGCGGACGAATAGCTTTTCGCCCTCCACGACATTACTCTTACTCCGGTGCGTGAACTCGGCGCGGGGCAGAGGAGGGAATCGCCGAATGTAGCCAGCAATTGTGGCGAGATTCGTTCTCATCACTGTGTAATTGGCGCGACCCGCAGTGTGAGTGTTTCATTTTCCTTAGTGCCAATCACCGGCAGCTGTGAAGGGATTCCACATCATTCACGTCTTTTTGGTTGATTGCCACGTGGCCATCCGGCCACGTCATCACGCCTTGGCTTGTTGCCCCTCATGGCAATTAACTCTTGATTGCCATGTCAATTGGCACGTGGCAATCACGTCTTGATTAATTGCCTTGTGGTAATCAAGCCACTGTCCTCTCCTCTCGCCTTCGTGAATTGCCATGAACTGATTGGTCGTGTCTTCGTTGATTGCCATTGATTACAGTATGTCTTCGTTGATTGGAACGAACTGATTGGTCATGTCTTCGTTGATTGCCATTGATTACAGTATGTCTTCGTTGATTGGCATTGATTATGTCTTCGTTGATTGGCATTGATTACGTCTTCGTTGATTGGCATTGGTTATGTCTTCGTTGATTGACATTGATTATGTCTTCGTTGATTGGCATTGATCATTGATCATGTCGTCGTTGATTGGCATTGATCATGTCCTCGTTGATTGCCACGTGGCACTCGTTGATCATATCTTCGTTGATTGGCATTGATTACGTCTTTGTTGATTGCCCCCACAAGTGAATCGTGCCGCATCACCACGTCTCCTTGGTTAATTGCCACGTGGCAATTGGGCCATCCATGTCATCATATCTTGGCTGACAGCTGCGCAGCAGTCAGTCACGTCTTGATTGATTGCCACGTGGCAGTCTGGCCTCGTCATCACGTCGTTTGTTTGATTGCCACGTGGCAACCAGTGCAACGTCAGCACATCTTGGTTAGCTGCCACGTTGCCTCGCGGCAATTTTGCTGCGCGAGCAAGGTGTGCAATGCGTCACCGCACGTCGTTTATTCAGGTTGAATCTCACCGCCAAAGCCGGAAAGGGGGGAGGGGGAGGCGGTACAAAACCAAGAAATCACCAATCCATGATACAGTGCACTTATATGAGGCTTTCTAATCAGGAGGGGAGGAAAAAAAAAAGCCCTGACTGGAGAACAAGATTATCCCCCCCCTCTCTCCCCCCCCCCTTCTCTCTCCCCCTCCCCCTCCCCAGCCCTCTCTCTCTCTCTCTCGCGCGCGCTCTCTCTACGTTGCCGAGCAGCCATAGCTGACCTCGCGTCCACAGCCTTACAGCTTGTCATTGCTGACGACAGCGACAATGGCGAAGGGTAGGTCTTCTTCGTCTTCGTTTTTTTTCTCCCCTCCTCCTTTTTCTTTTTCTCCTCCTTTTTCTCTTTCTCCTTCTTCTCCTTCTTCTTCTTCGTCTCCTTCTGTTTCTTACTGTTTCTGCTCCTGCCCTTGTTCCTCCCCTGCGGCAGCCATGGCTCCCGACAAGAGATCGGGATCGGGCTCTATGTCTCTTAATGCTAACTCCTCTAATATCGCTACTACTGCTCCCGACAAGAGATCGGGATCGGGGGGCTCTACCTCCCATAACTCTGACAGAAGTAATTCGAGCTCTTCTTCCTCCTCCTCCTCCTCCTCTTCTTCTTCTGCTTCTGCTTCCTCCTCCTCCTCCTCTGCGACCGATATGTCGAAAAGCGGATCGTCGTCGTCGTCGTCGTCGTCTCCAGCTATGGCTATGGCCTGCTCCCCTTCTTGTCGTTACTCTCCCACAGTGATACCGGAGTGTGTTGTGAAGGCGGAAATGAACCGACGTATCAAACTAGCAGAAACTCAGAAAAATGCCGGGAATGACATGTTCAAGGCTGGAGAGTACGTCAACGCGAAAGAGTGCTACCTGCAGGCGCGCAAACTTCTTCCCAACGCTTATTGCTGCTATAAGGATAAGCGAAGAGGGGTGATAATAAGTAGAGTGGGGAGAGTAAGAGGAGGGAGAGGAGTAGGTATAGGGTTAGGAGGAGGAATAACGATTACTAGTACTAGTAGTACTAGTAGTACTAGTAGTAGGATTAGTAGTGTAAGTAGAAGGGTAAGAGAGGGAGGTGGTTTTGTGATTGGTAGTTGTGGCTATGGCGGTCATAAGAAGAAGAAGAAGAAGAAGACGACGAAGAAGAAGAAGAAGGAGGGAGGGGTAGACGAGGAGGATGGTGAGGAGGTGGACCACCGCCTCCACCAGCTCCCCCTCCCGCCGCTGCAGATGCATCAGCAGCAGCAGCAGCAGGAGGAAGAGGAGGACGGGGGGGACGTGGATGCTCTCGAGAGCAAGCTCCGCAAACTTGTCGTTTTCCTTCACTTTAATATAGCAGCCTGTGCCATCAAAACGGAGGAATATGAGACGGCTGTGTCCCATGCGGACGAAGGCCTGAGAGTAGCGGCCATGGCTAAGCTCGATATTAAGAAAGGCCTGTTCAGACGTGGGAAGGCCTATAGTAAATTGGGAAAACTCCGCGAAGCTCTGGAGGACTTACAGCATGCAGCAGATCTGTCGACTGATGATGAGGAGATCAAGGCCGAGCTGTCACATGTGCGGGCGTTGCTTGCAAAACAGGAGAATGAATTGCTAAGTCAAAGTAGCGATGATGATGCAGCACCAGCAGGAGGAGGAGGAGGAGGAGGGAGTAAATCTAAAGGGAAAAAGAAGAAGAAAAAGAATAAGAAGAAGGAAAATAGTAGTAGTGACAAACAGAAGGATAAGAAGAAGATGGAGTGTGAGAATGAGGATGGGTCCAGCGAAGATGAGAAGCATAATGCTGGCGCTCCTGGGAAGTTGAAGTCATCCAGGTGTGGGGATCGCGATTGGACGGCTGAGATGGACCGTCGTGAGAAGAGCAAAGCTATGGAGAATGGCCGTGGAGGTGGAGGGATTGATGAGCAGCAGGGAAATGGGAATGTCAGGAAGGGATGGTCCAAATCAACAAGCGGACATGGGGAAGAAGTGGGGGTGGGAAAGAGAGGAGGAGGAGGAGGAGGAGGAGGTACATGCGTCCGGAAAGGACAAGTTGGTGGGAGGGGTGTTAAGGTTGGTGGGAGGGGTGTTAAGTGGTTGGGTGTTGGGAGTTTGGGCGATCGTAAGCGGCAGGAGGAAGGAGAATATGATGATGAGGAGGAGGAAGAGGAGGAGGAGGAGGAGGAGGAGGAGGAGGAGAGGGAGATGGAGAGGGAGAGCGTCCGAGACTCGTGGTCATCGAGAAGAAGAGGGAACGAGAAGAGAGAGGGTCTTCTGTCTAACAGTTTTGCGGCTCTGAGAATGGCCGAGGTTAATGGGCTTTCCTCTGGCTATGGAGATGGAGGAGGAGAGGGGGAAGAAGAAGGAGGATGGATGACAATGAAGAGGAAGGAGAAGAAGAATAAGATGGTGAGGAATGGTGGGGCTGAGCAGAGAAAGAGGGAGGAAGAGGGGAAAGAAAAGCAGAGGGCTGCAGATGAGGCGGTGGCTGTGGCAAGGAGAGAGAGTGCAGCAAAAGAGGAGGAGAAGAAGGAGAGGTTTTTCCCAGGGAAGAGGGTATATGAGTATGCGCTACAGAAGCAGCAGATGGAGTTGGAGGAAGAGGAAAAAGAAAAGCAGAGGGCTGCAGATGAGGCGGTGGCTGTGGCGAGGAGAGAGAGCGCAGCAAAAGAGGAGGAGAAGGAGAGGGTTTTCCCAGGGAAGAGGGTATATGAGTATGCGCTACAGAAGCAGCGGTTGGAGTTTGAGAGTCAGTTAGCTGGTGATGTCCAGTATTGCAAGACGATGAGGGAGAATGCAGAGGCCATGGCCATGGGAGAGAGAATGAAGAAGCTGTTCCCTATCATAGGAGGCGGCGGTGGGGTAGGGATGGTGGAAAACGTGGATTTTGAGAGCAGAAGGAGCAGCTTTGGGTTCGGATTCGATGAGAACACAGCGATGGCAATGGCTATGGCAGGGACGAGGCAGCCTCCGGTGATCAGAAGAGAGAGAAGGGAGATGAAGGGAAGAGGTGGAAGAGGAGGAGGAGGACGAGGAGAGATGCTTCCTCCCTTACTACCTCCTCCTCCACCGATGTCGCCTGTCCCTCTGGCCCCAGAGTTTTGGGTGCCTTATCACCCCCCGCCCCTACCTCCGCCAACTTTGTTTCCGCACGTCGCTCAACTACGGGGCGACTGGAGCAGTGCTTTTGCCCCTGAGGATAACACCTATTTTCAGGATGAAAACGTTTTCCATCAGCACAGGAATCCCAGCACCAGCGACGGTAGAGTATTCTTTCAGGGTCCAGTTCCCATGGGTGATGGTGGCCCTCCTCGTCCTCCTGGGAAAGCTCCACAGTATGGTGGAACCCCATGTGGTCCCTGGGACAATGGCCATTGGGATCCCAATATGCATTGGGACGCCAATGGTCATCGGGATCCCAATTGGCATTGGGACTCTAATGGTCACCGGGATCCCAGTGGTCGTCGGAATCCCAATGGTCGTTGCGATTCCAATGGCCATTGTGAGGCCAATGGGCAGCCGGATCCCAATGGTCATTTGAACTCCAATGGGCAATGGAATGCTGATGGGCATTGGGACAATGGTTTCAGGCAAAGACAGCAGCATCTTCATGAGCGGCCTATGTGGCCACCGTTCGGACCCATGGATGGGCCACGTATGCCCACAAACGGAGGTTCCATGCCCATGCGTATGGATATGCCAGCGGGGGCCCAAGGAGGGACTTGGTGGCCCCAGGAGGGGTCTATGGAGGATCAGGTGACGGGCCAGAATGGACTGTGCAACAGACTAGAAGATAGGCCACCAGGAGGCTGGACAGAGCAGGGGGCGCCTCGGCCTCTGATCCCATCCGTCCTCGATCCCACAATGCCCATGACGACTAGGTCTACAGATATGGCCACCCCTGTCACCAGTTTCAACCTCAGGACCAATGCATCGGAGCCGATGATTTCCATCAGCATCACGGGAAGTAGGCCGACCTGTGGTCCGGCGACCGCCGTCCAGAATGGAAAGAATCTTCTGCGGCGTCAGCAGCAAACTCTTCATTCTCCTCCCCCCCCCCTTCCTCCTCCGCCTACGCCTCCTGCTGCCGGTCCTCTTCCTCGTCCTGCTGCTCCTCCCCGTCCTCTTCCTTGTCTTTCTCCGCTTCCTCCTCCTCCTCCTCCTGCTGCTGTTGCTGCTGCCGCCGCTACCGTTGCTAGTCCTGTCTCTGCGATGGTGATAGCCACACCAGCTCCTCCCACAGTTGCTCCTACCGGGGCTACGGCTAGTGCTGCCGCTCCTGTCGTGGCGGCGCCAAGGACAATGCCAAGGGATAGTGAGGGGGGGGACACATCAACAGACTCTCTTCTCAAGGAACTGTTTCCACACTTCTTCCCGGATCCTTCTCATGCTGCTCCTCCCCCCCCTCCTGTGTCCTCCTTTTCTTCGCACGGAAGGAGACGAGGGGTGGGTGTCTTAGAAACCCCCTTGGAGCCCTCAGGGGCACCTTACAATGTCCACGACGATATGTACACCCATTTTCTTCCCACGAACGAGGACGACTTGCTTCGTCCCTCCTTGCCTTCCTGCCCCTCCTCCCTCCTCTCTTCCTCTCCTCTTTGTCAAAATGGTCAGAATTGTCAGAATCGTCAGAGTCGTGAAAATCTACGTTATCAGCGTGATCTGCACGAAGAACAATGTCTGTACCTCCAAGACCTAGGGGAGCCGTTCTTCGGTACAGGTGGAGAATGGGGAGGAGGGGACGGAGTGGGAGGAGGAGGAGGAGGAAGTGGAGTGCAGAACGTGAATGGAGAGACGACGCGGCAGTCATCCTCGATACTCGACATGCTTGAAACCGGAGAGAGAAGAGGTAGAGTAGCATCGGAACAAAACACGTCGAGTAAGAAAGAAGCGGGCACTCAGGCGCTAATGGTGTCGTCGTCTTCACCATCCGCCATGCCTTCACCAGTACCATCATCCGCGTTGCCTTCGCCATTTTCGACTTCGTGGAACCCGCCTCGGAAGAACAGGACCGGCGATGAAAGCAGGGGCAATTTAACAGCAGAGGAGTTGATGGACCCTTCCCTCTGGGACGACTGTCAGAATTATTGTTGTATTTGCTTCGAGAAGGAGAGGAACGGGCTATTACTACCATGCGGTCATCTAACGTCGTGCGTCGAGTGCTTGGCACAAGTCAGGGCCTCCACCCGACCCTATTGCCCCCTCTGCCGCCAAGAGATTGATGATGTTATTCAAGTCAATTTTAATAATTCCTAGCAACGCACCGCACAACCAATCAATCACCGCGAAACAGAAAAAGAAAGAAATGGGTATAAAGCCACATGTTTTGCATTCTCACCCTTCGATCCCCACTCTGCTTCCTTTCTGGACCTTGGGCTATGCTCCTCTTGAGTAAAGTCATGGATTGCTTCACTCTATGTTGTGGAACCGCCATGCTCACATATGTCTGTGTATGGATGTGCGTGTGTGTGATAGATATATAGATATATAGATAGAGAGATAGGTAGGTACAGAGAGAGAGAGAGAGATAGGTAGGTACACACACACACACACACACACACACACACACAGAGAGAGAGAGAGAGAGTTGCGTTCCATGCATGGGGTTTGTGCACAACCTCGTGCTTTGTTTTCGCAATGTGGATTGCCTGAGGTAGCTATCATTCTGGGTTGTCTACGTTCGAAGTGTGATGTCTGCGCATTTAGACGGGTTGTACGTCTTCGTGCATGTAATGGGGAGATGGATTTTCAACCACAGAGTCATGCATGTGCGTTTGGTCAGCGTTCAAGTTTACGGCCTTGGTCGGCACACATGAATTCCATTTTAACTCTTAAGGCCCTTTGCGCGTGTAACGGGGGGATAGATTTCCAAGTTTGCAGCACTGGATTAAATGGATTTGTTGTGTGCCCTGGATTTGGATCATTTGGATTTTTGTGTGCGTACTATACAACCGGTTGAAGCATATAACGGTACGGTTAAAAAGTCGCAAAGTTTTTAAAACCAGATATTAACTCAGAGACTTGACGACTGGATCGCGCAGATGTTAAAGCCGCCAGTATCTGGGGAGAGTGTGCGTGCTAGCCTGCTTCTTGGATAAAGTGGGGTCGACCTGCTGGTCAGCTTGTGCCGTCTTTTTTTTTTTTTTTTTTTTTTTTTCAGCTTGTGCCGGCTAAAAAATTGAAAAATGGTCAGAGGTGACCAGAAGCGTGCCTGATATGGGGTGGTTTAAGCTTGATGGCTCTGTGATCTGGATAAAACAGGTTATTACTGGAATACCATCTCCCTCCTCCTCTCTCTCTCTCATGCCTCGTTCATGGTTTGGCCAACTCCCCCCCAGTCTCAGTTCCCATTGCACATGCCCTTTCTCTCTCTCTCCCTCTCTCTCTCTCTCTCTCTCTC